TATGAAGTGCCTTGCAAACGCTTTGGGGTAGAAGGAGGCAGGAAAATGACTTAAACCTTAATTTTGTTTTTTTGCCTGCACACTACATGTGTGCACCTTTTTCAAATAAAATTAACACTTTAAATAATATTTATAGGCTTTAAGGCCACAGAAATTTTAAATATTTACCTAGCCATTTAGAAAGCACTTAGCATTTTAGGTATAGAAAAATATCTCACACACTCACTTATGTCTTTCAAAACCTCATATTTACTTACTCGATCACACACAAAATGATCTGGCTGAGAGCTGAAAATTAAGTTGCAGAATATACAATTAAAATAGCAGAAAATGTAGTTTTAAAGTTCTGGTCAAAACTTCTATGTAGACCACCGATTTTTTTTTTTTCTTAAACTTCCTATTTACTCATCTCAGCTGACTCCTGACAAATATACTACAAACGAGTGCTTCGTTCCATAGGGCTTTGGATTAGCACACAAAGCAGGGCAGAGTCAGCAGTAACCAGATTTAGACCTGGACTCTCAAAATCCTTTAAATTTTTTTAATGAAGGTAAGCAGTGAACATAAACAGCCATTTCAGCCTTTTTAGAAATCTAATCATGAAAACGTAATGATTTATAAATGTGTCCTTATGTTTCAATATGGTCCCAAACTCTCCAGCCCCATCAAGTTGACTCCAACACAGAGCCCCCATACCCAAAACATAAATCCTAGTGACGACTTGACCTCTACTCTCATACAATAAAAACATTTACAGTGACGAGTGCCCAGGTGGTTTTCTAAAAAGTGAATGAAAATGCTTAAATTCTTAAGCAAATAAATGCATAATTTTGTAATCCTGGCAAAAAGGAGTTTGCCTATGCTTCTTAAACGGTTCCTGGGTGAAGGTTGAGTTACGACTAGCACCGCAATGAAGCAATTCTACTCTGCACTGCCGAGCTCCCCATGAGTGGGATTCTACTCAACAGCCACTAACAACACACTTTTTTAACGTTCTACGCAGAAATGAAAGAATATCTGCTCACTTTCCAATTATTACACATTGAAAAATAGAGGTTAGTGATATAACATGCAACATTTAAGTAAAATTTCAAGAACGGTACTTTTTGAAGTTTTATTTATACTTTGCAAAAAGTGTAAACGAATGAAAATGAATGTATTTGGGAGGGGAAAGGCCTTTTAGAATGCAAGCTAATAAATTCAATTTGACAAGCTATCTGGCTCAGAGGGGTTACTGGCCTTTCCAAGATAACAAGCCGTAAAAGCCAGGACTTGACCCTCGATCGTCCGATGAATTCAGGGCATTTTCTCCTAAGTAAGGTTCTACCCGAGGTCTTTCAAAAAACACGTTGTGAGACAATGTTGTTGTGTTTGAATGTTTGTTTGTTCATTACCATGGTCAGATACAAAGCCTAGCAGTTTGGAAACTAGAAAGTCTCGATCTATTACTTCTATGAAAGTACTGATCTCCTAATGCCCTTATATGATATGAATGTGCCCTGCAAACAAAACCACAGACCCACTGATGCACTTCATAAGAAACAAACATTTAAGTTAAAAATTCCTGTTATGTCCATCACTGCTAGGTTAAAAATATCCTTTTCTTTCCATGCCAGAGTAGTAGGATTTTGTGACCTACATACACCCCCAAACTGTTAGTGTGTATTTTAAGACCCCCCCAAAATGTTCCCATTCAGAATGGAGGGTGAATAAGACTTGTCTGCACTAAGAGAATGTGCGTTTTAGCAGCACAGATTGTATCTTCCTCCGATAGGACTAACTGGTGAAGCCACCTGGCACAGTAGCACAGAGCTCTAGTTGACAGTGGGAGAGGCTGCTGTGACAAGGAGCATCCCAGGAGGCCCAGGAAGAAGAGGGATTTCAATCTGCAAGAGAACAGACATAAGGCCCTGCACCAGTGATTTACAATCAAAGTTTTTTAAATTGTAACGCTGTACAGCTCCAGGAAATGGCCTGCACAGGAGATGAAGCTCCACTGAAACCCTTTTCCAGTCTTAAAAAAAATGCAGCATAGTCACAAACAGCCAAATGCCAAATGCTGTTCCATTCCATACAAACAGCTAGCTGGTCCTACTTTGCTCCGCAGTGAATCCTCACAATGTTTCCTCCGACACATTTATCGAGGCACTGTCAGTCATCATTAGTAGGAAAGTGAGAAAACAAAAAGTCCTAATAATGTTTTTCAAGCACTTGGACAAGTAACTACAGGCCACAAAAGAGGCTTCAAAAGCCATTTCGAAAAGGAAAGTGTCATCTCCCGGGAAGAGGACTGATCGGTGTTTAAAAAGGAGGGTTTTTCTTAATCCGCCATGTCAGAAAAACCAATGCGGCGCCTGCAGATTATTTTGAAGGCGAGGAGAGGGAAAGAACCATTGGCTATAGTTAAGGGCAAGAAACCTGTTCCAAACAATCTGGTTCTGGGGCAATACCCAGTCATTAAAGAGTATGAAAACTATTAGTGTTCAGGATGCACACAAGTGGACACAGAGACGCTGACTGATGGAATGGCTCATCCAGACAGGAGTATGGGAGCGTGAGCGGAATTGGGGAGCAAACAATGAACATGGGAGGGGGGGGAGCATTAGAACTGATGGTGATGATGTGTGTACAACTCTTTTTAAAAGCGATTTAACTGTGGACGTGTATGATATGTGAATATTATATCAAGAAAACTACTTGCAAAGAAAGAACCCGAACTTGGCGGAGGGCTTCCATGGGTGGAGGAGGAAACGCGGTTGCTTCGGTACTGAGTGCATGTAAATGGTGGCGGAATAGTTTGGAAAAGGGCTTAAATAAGGGTTGTACAACATGAAAAATATAGCCAATGGCACTGAATTATTCAGGTAGAAGTTGCTGAATTGGAGATGGCTTGTTGTGTTTATCTTTGCCACAAATAAAAAATAATAATAATCGCATCAATAACAACGAGTACAAGGAAGAAAAAACTGTTCTGAAGTTGACTGTGCTGATGATTGCACAACTCTTCTTGAAATGGTTGAACTATTGTATGATATGTGGACAAAGTGCCGATAAAGCTGTTAAAAAATATTTTTAAAGGAAAAAAACTAATGGTGTCGATAGCAGAGTCTTATTTAAAGAAAACCTTTTTGTTGGGCAGAACTGGGGGGTGGGGGATAGATGTGTGAAGCAGGGTAATCTCAATATCTCTCCATTTCTCATCTCTAAAATAAGGTTAATTTCATCTACCACACAAGGTCCCTGTGAAGATTTCCAAGAAGATAAGCAAAACAATTTGCATTTAATAATCACTGAACAGTGGTTATACTTCTTGGATTCTTTGAAGTGAAAATAACAAGACAAAGGGTGTCTGGCCTCCTGTAATTCCTCATGAGGAAGGAAGAATCACTACCACCTTCAGCCCAAGATGGATTCCTGTGATGCAGAGGTCAAACACATCTCCTGTCTCCAGTCTTTACCAATTCTGACACCAGCTGTCCCTTCCATGACACCCTCTACTTTGGTGGGTTGGAAAATCCATTGCAATGGCTGCACAGAACTCCCAGATAATACTCACGATTATGTGCATTATTAGTGAAATAAGAGTGTACAATTCAGAATCAGGAATGATTAAGGGTACAGTTCTTTGGTCAAGACAGCTTATCAGCTGTGCCCACTGGCAGGCATCTCCCTGGCCCTCTGACTATCAGCCTTTGGGGCCAACTGGCCTCCGTTTGGGTAAGTGTTACAAAGCCTCTTAGTTCTGCCTATCTATTCCCAGAGGCACCTCACTCTACCAAGCAGTCTACGACGTGAAGGTGAGTGGGTTGTGGGTTTGAGAACCTGCTCCACCAAATGCCTGGAAACACCATACTGTGCCATCAACCTCCATCCTGAAGACACTTAGCTTCCTCATCGGTGTGCTGGCCACCTCATCATCTCCTGCCCCTCTCCTAGGTCCACTGCCTCTGCTGCTGTCGTTTCTCTGCCGCTGTGTCTGGCTCACAGTCTCTGATGTTACATAAGTTCTCTTTCTCTGTCCCCTGGGTCTAGGAGTTCCTCAGCACAGGGATTCCAGATCCAAAGGATAAACTCCACTCCTGGTTCTTCTTTCTATGAAATCCTTTGACGGGATTTGCAAGACTATAGCCAAAAAGACCACATACAAGCAATAGATTGTACTGCACATGGTGAAGTAAAACAGGTCTATTTTCCAGGGTTAGGTAATCATGCTCACTCCCTGATGAAGATTTCAATTCCCTTAAAAGCAACCTAAAACTACAAAAGCAAATTAAAAATGCTTTGACATCTGTCCAGGCATTATTAAGTTTAAAGGTTAAATTGCAATGGGAAAAAAATCTCCTAGTTATGCAACAAACCTACAGGAGCCATGAGCTTATAAAAGATCGCATTTGCCTATATTGCTGAAATGAATTAAGGGGGAAAAGATTTTTTTCAAAATAAAAATTCTTTCGAATAGACTTTCATCTGAATTAGCAGGTCTCAGTTCAAAAGTTCATATCCATGCCTAATTATAAGCTCTCCAACCCCCTATTAGTAATAACAAAACCACATTGATTAAAAAGCTGTGTGTATAGACTCATATTTATATAAACTCATTCTAAGGACTGTGTGCTATCACCGGGGAGACATCATCAACCGCCGAAACAGGGCCCCCCAAATTAATGCATGTGCCTCTGCCACAAGTCGGAGACGGCAATTACACCACAAATAATCCTCATGCTCCGGAGAACTCAGCTGCTGCAGAAACAAAGTCTTGGGGAAAGTGCCCTCTGACGAGTCTCGTTCCACTCCCAAGGCAAACGGTCCTTGCTTCAGCGTATTTGTAAAACTTTCTGTGTTTGGGGAATTCTATCCGGTATAAAAAGCGTATTCACTCACACCCGGTCCTTCTCCTCCCCCGCACCCTTCCCTGAAAGTTGACCTGCTCGCTTGCAAACCCGTTCGTTCCTCCGACTTGAATTCCCCTCCCCACCAAGCCTCCCCTTCGGGCCCCGTACCTGCTCCCGGGAAATGCAAGGCAACGAGGGTCTCCTGAACACTTTGCAACTGCCGTAGTAACCGGCGGGGGTCTCGCCGAGCGACACGCAGCTGGACCTCCTCCGGGGTCGGATCACAGGCACTTTGTCCTCGGCGGCGCTGGACAGCCGAGGGTGGTGGGGGGCGGCCCGGATTTGCACGAAGTGATCCAGCGCCAGGGCGAGCAGGCAGCCGGCGCTCCCCACCAGGCAGGCCAGCAGCGGCCGGAGGGCGGCGGGCAGCGCGCCCAGGCCGGAGAAGGCGACCCACCAGACGCAGCTGGCGAAGAGCAGCACCAGGATGCTGCGGCGGAGCCTCAGCGGGGGCACGAGCGACAGCACCCCCACACAGCTCAGCACCAAGAGCAACCTGCCCGCCGCCGCCGCCGTCGCCGGGGGCTCGTCCCCGCGCGCCCCCGGCGAAGACCACCAGGGCCACACCACCAAGTCACCCAGGTAGCAGCAGGCGGGCAGCGCCAGCAGCCACCAGGAGCCGCCGCCGCCGCGGGCCGGCCCGGGGCCCCGCTGGGGCCGGGTCAGGAAGCAGGTGAGGAAGAAGAAGGCACAGGCGATGCTGAAGAGGGGGCTGAGGCTGAGCGCGCAGACGCCCAGCAGGCTCCGCAGCCGCGCGGCGCCCGCAGCCCAGCTCCCGGGCCCCGCGGCGAGCAGCAGGGCCAGGACAAAGGCGGCC